TCATACAGAGATCTAGAATCACAGCTTTTCTAAGTCATCGACTGCGTTGGGGTCAACTTTTCTAATTCTGGACCATCCTTGCTTCTCTAAGTACCTCCTAGCCCATACTCCTGATATAGTAACCCCAATAAAAATGTATTGAGTCTCCAAGCTAAACTTCTGTCAGTCATGGAGCAGGTTTGTGTGTGTGTGTGATGTCTTCCCAGGAATAGGGTGTCACACTGCATTCAAAGAGCAAGGTTATCTTTTTCCTGCTGTACAGTTTCACTTACTGAAGAATTCCAGAGCAAAACCATAAAAGTAGAACCTAGATCCTAATGGTGTTTTCCCAAGCAAGTTACTGAACTTCTTTAAAATAAATAATAGATAATTAAATAACAGTAACTATCTCACATTAGCATGCTGTAAGGATTCAATAGTTGACGTCTGCCTGCTATAGGACTGCTCTCCCAGGGAGCGAACAATGTCACTGTGCCATACAGTAGGACAGTACCAGTGATAACTAAGCACCTGAGCACTGGAATTACTTGAGGGAGAGGCCCACTCATGCCATTTATTAATTGTGTGATTTTGGATAAATTTTTCATGTTCAAATTGATGGTAACAACAGTACCTGATGTGTTACAGTGTGAGAATTAGTCAACATAATTCACATAAAGCATCTAGCATAGGTCCTTCTAGAAAATAAACCCAGAAAACATTACCTAGTATTTTTAGCGAAACAAGTTCTGTACTAAAGCTCCAAAGCAGAGAGGAATGGCATTCCACAAACCATGAACAGAAACAGAAGGAAAAAAATATCACAGCAGTCCGCTCAAGCAACTTAAGGCGGTCCTTTTCGTGTACCTAGGGACAGACACATTGTGATGAACTGTTGCAGATCCCAAGCTAGATTTTAGATCTCAGCAAGGTGTCCTGAAGGTTATACAAACAATAATGAGAAAAGCTCCACTTGCAAAGTGAGGTTGTAAGACAATTATGGCAATAATAGTGTGTGAAATAAATACTGTTCCAATAAGAGATGTAACAGCAAGGAAGCAGGATGAAGGGGACAAAAAGGATAATACATCATCACTGTATGCAACCAAGCTTTCATGTATGTTGAGTGGCAAAAGCAACTAGGACATCCCCGACTTTACACTGACATAAGCAGTTATGACATAATCACGAGTATCCTGAAGGAGCAGAGGTGACCAAAAGGAATCATCACCCCGTTTGTTTTGTTTACTAACATGAGTTATGAAACAGAGTGCACTCAGAAATCTTTTCCCAAAGAAGCCAGAATTGAGGGGACTTTGGAAAAATAAAATTACAGAAACAGACTTGAGAATTATATTCCCAGGGATGAGGCATATAAAAGTCTTAAGTGACAAAATCTGGAAGCCACAAAGAAACTAGTATCATTTTGCAGAACCAGAGGCTACTTGGCAGGCCAGTTGCAACCAAAAAAAAAAAAAAAAAAAAAAAAAAAGGACAAGGGTGAGTTACTAGAGAGCTGTAAGTAACTATGAGGAGAGCAATGGATTAAGAGGAACTATAAGCGGTTAAAAAGCTAATTATGAGTACTGCGTTCAGAACACTTTGAAGTTAACGGGCCTCACAACTCAGCACTTAATGTTCGCCCGCAGAGTGAAACAGCACACTGGAAAACGAAAGCTATGAATTTAAAACCAGTTTTAATTCTCACCAGTTCTTGGACAGAGCTGTCTAAATGCCAAGAGCCAAGGACAAAGACTATGAAACAGTCACTTAACTGCTCGCAGCTTACAAAAATGTCACTATTCAAGAAACCGATAGGAGCCGCACAGCACACATTCTTCAAAGGGCACAGCCAAGGCTACAGTCAATACTGCACTCCCTACACAGTGAACGTTCAACATTCACAAAGACATAACTAATGTTTTCTTTTTATTTTCTTTTCTTTTTTTGGATGCAAGGTTTCTCCTTGTAGCCCTGGCTGTCCTGAAACTTGCTGCACTGGCCTTTGCCTCCAGAGTGCTGGGATTAAAGGTGTGCGCCACCACCTCCCGGCTGTCTTGCTTTTCTTAACAAGCCACATTTTTTGATAATAGTTGTTTCAATGTACAAATTTTGATGAAAAATATCCCTGTATTGTCAAGGGTCCTAAATTCGAAGGAAAAACATCCCTTCGAATACAGTGAATAATTACAATGCACAAGCAATCCGAGAGTAAGAAAACACACACACACACACACACACACACACACACACACACTCCGTCTAAGGCCGGGGACATAGCTCAGTAGAACCTGCCCAGTAGGCCGTGTCCCACAGTATAACAAAACCCTCTATATTTCACCCCGAAACTTAAATCAAACAAGCATTAAAAGAAAAAAATCAGTGATCCACAAATTAAGTCTAATTAACCAACGTTATTTTCTATTTGAAATAATAACGGATCAGACGGCTCAGCGACGGAAACACCGACGCCGTCTATCAACCGGGACGAACCAATGCTAACAAGAACATCGCCCCTTGCCCGCCAGCCCCACGACACAGCCGACCACGGAGCAAACGGTTACGGCTGGAGCCCGCCCTGGAGCAAACGGCACCAAGGGCGTCGTGCACCGTCCGGGTCTCGGGCTGCAGGCTGCATCCCCGCCACCCCACACCCGCCCGCCGCGACCCCGGCTCGACCAAGGTGAGCGCAGCAGACCCGAGCTTTTACCCTCCATTGAAGGCGTAAGGCGAGAACCGCATCTTCACGGGGCCGGCGGAGCCCTGAGGCTCCAATGCCAGCTCTCGGTCGAATCGTCGGTAAGCATTCATGGCGAGCATCGCGCCTGACTCCTGCTGTCTCACTGCAAGATGGCCGCCGGCGCAGGTCCACTTCCGGCCCCATCTGGCCCCGCCCATCGGGCTCCTCTAGCCTGCAATCGTCATTGCTCTTGGAGGTCTCCGCCTGCATCCCGCCGCGTATCATTGATCCATCGACTTCTGGGGACCTGTTTTCCAACCCCGAGAAAACATTTTGGGGAATCAAAAGTATACCAAAAAATTAACCCAATTATAGAGCAACGGTAACTCGAATTGTCACATTGGTGTTTGAGAATTAGCAGCTCCTGCTGGGTTGAAGGCTGTGTGCTATACGCAGCCACCCGACCCAGGTGGCAAGACTAAGTTCCCCTGGCTAGAATCTAATGGTTAATATTGTTAACTTGACAGAATCCAGAATCACCTAGTAAAAACCCATGGGCATGTTTATGCAGGCTATTCCAGGATGGTTTAGCTGAGGAGGGAAGACCCAACCTAAATATAGGTGGCACCATCTCATGTCCTGGCTTTCTGGACTAAATAAAAAAGAAGAAGAAGAGAAGGAGGAGGAGGAGGAGGAGAAGGAGGAGAAGAAAATTAGCATTCATCTCTTTATGCTTCCAGTCTGTGGACACAACGTGACTGGGATTCCGGTCTGCAGATGCAATGTGGCTTCCCCTTCTCCAGGCGTCATGTTTCTGCCTGATGGACTGTATCCCCTTAAGCTATAAGTCAAAATGAACCCTCCTTCCCTTAAGTTTCCTCTTGTCAAGCCATTGTTAAGTTTTCTTAATTTCCTAAGTCTTACTGGGTTCCCTGTCCCTCCAGGAGAAAATGTTTCATTAAGGAGAAAATAGCTATATAATGCTACTGTACTTATTAGAGTCCATGTATAGGTCAACACCCTATACACATAACACACACGTTCTCTCTCTCTCTCTCTCTCTCTCTCTCTCTCTCTCTCTCACACACACACACACACACACAGAGAGAGAGAGAGAGAGAGAGACACTAAAGGAGCCCATTAACTCGTTGATAGTGCAAAGTACAAGGGAAATGACATAAGCAGAACCAGCAGAACAGACATGTATATGCCTAGATGAACCACAGAAAATAGAAATCAAGATATATTGTAATTCAATCAAGCATTAAGAAGCAACCTAGCTAGGAGGTGGTGGCATATGCCTTTAATCCCAGCACTAGGGAGGCAGAGGCAGGCGGATCTCTGTGAGTTTGAGGCCAACCTGGTCTACAGAATAAGTTCCAGGACAGGTTCCAAAGCTACAGAGAAACCCTGTGTGGAAAAACAATAACAACAACAACAACAAATGTTTTCTTGGAACAGTCAGGAAGAGGGCTGATAGGTACAGAATTAAAATGTAACTGAATGTAACAAAGACGCATGTTTTGTTGTCTTTCTTTAGACACAAGTTATCTTTCACTGAGAACGTGATAAAGAGTATCTGCTTGCTATTCACGTTTCGACCTCACAAGTTTCTAAGAGGCGACTACTACTATCTTTCAGCTTTATGGTACTAAGTAGAGGAGGAGGTGAGCTCTCCAAGTACCCTTGGTAACACCGTGAGCTTAAAAACGTGGTACACTAGCAGGGCGTGGTAGCCCACGTCTTTGATCCCAGCACTCCGGAGGCAGAGGCAGGAGGATCTCTGAGTTTAAGGCCCGCCTTTTCCAGAGGAAATCCCATGACAGCCAGGGATATCCAGAGAAACTTTCTAAAAACAAAGCATGGAAGACTGAGGCTGTAGCTCAGTGATAGAATGCTTGCTTGAGTTTGATCCCTAAAGCCACATCTCCAACTGTTACCTCTACACTCGCGGCATCTCTCCAACCTTAGACAACAACCAGCTCGGAATGATTGCCCCGCCCCGGAACTGCTGGGAGCCCCGCCCCCTCGTTTCCCAGGCCGGATCACAACGGGCGGAAGTGACGGCATCAGATTGCGTCGGGCTCCGGCGGGGTCGAGTCCGGTAGCGGTGGCGGGTCCCTGCTGGCGGTTTGGCTAGGTCTCTGCGGTCCAGGTAACGGTCGGTCAGCCTTTTCTCCGCTTTGAGGGGGTCCCCGGGACAGCCGGAGGAGACTCGGCATGGGCGCGCGGCCGAGCAGGGAGCAGCGCTCCGCGCGTGCTGTGGCGGCTCGGCGAGTACCAGTCACCGGGCCACCGCTCCGGCGGGGTCTGGAAACCCTGTGCCAAGCGTGAGAGTTTCCTGGGGGCTGGCACCGGGCTGCGCCGCACACCTCCTCTGCTTCCGCTAGGAGACCGTTTTACCCAGGCCTGCGTCCCCGCGTCTTTTCCTTCATTAAGGGACATTCTCGTCGGAAGCCTTGAGATCAACGTATTAAACACGCGCTACTTTATTTACACTGTGCTCACCGTCTCTAGGCTCAGGTTAGCGTGGTTTTCCAGAACTCTGGGTAGGCTTTTCTGGGAAAGGACGCCTGACAGGATTAGGCAGACACTTGAAAGACTGCAGAATAAGGTTTCTCAAATATTCAGTTTGATGGCTTAGTTTCCAAAAGATGAAGACTGGAAAACAGCCTAAAAATAAGTTAATGTAGTGATTATTCCGATTTTATGACACGTTGAGGAAAGATGGTTTATATCGTCTGCAGGTGTGAGATGACCTCTGCATAGCATACGACAAATATTCGTCTTGAATAATCAACCGGTTCAGCCAGGCGGTGGTGGCGCACACCTTTAATCCCAGCATTTGGGAGGCAGAGGCAGATGGATCTCTTGACTTCAGGGCCAGCCTGATCTACAGAGCTAGTTCCAGAACAGGCTCCAAAGCTGCAGAGAAACCCTGTTTCAAATAGTAATAATAATAATAAATAATAATAACCAACCGGTTCAGTAAACTTCATTTGCACAAAGTGATCTCGATAAATCACTGATTATACTTTGGACATTAAACTCAACCTTCATTTTCTTTTTGGCTCAACTAAAGCAATGACCTCAGAAATTGAGTTTTCAGTCTCCAGTTTTCTCAGATTTATCTTCTCTTGACAAAGGAGCTCCCCATCTACACTTCCAAATCCTTTAACTTAATCCCATTGCCTGTGTAATAACACTCCGAATTATGTAACCCACCTCTACCTGCTGTGTCACCTCCTGTAGTGACGTCACATTCTACATGCTCTCCTAGTCTCTGTCTGCCTTTCACTTTTGTATGTATGCTGATTTGTATGTTTTTGTTCCTCTTGCTAGATCCGTGTTAATTTGCTCCTGCTTTGGGAAAGATCTGGCCTCTCAAAAGGGTATGTAACTTTAGTGTTTTTCTTAATTTTTAAGAAGACTTACATATGTGAGCCAGGCGGTGGTGGCACACACCTTTAATCCCAACACTCAGAAGGCAGAGACAGGTGGATCTCTGAGTTCGGGACCAGTCTGGTCTACAAGAGCTACTTCTAAAGCTACACACAGAGAAACCCTGTCTCCTGTCTTGGAAAAAAAACAAAACAAAAAAAGGTTTATGTTTGTGAATGCTTTTGCCTGTATGTGTACCACATGAATGCCTGGGGCCCATGGAAGACTTAAGGGGGCACTAGATTCCTCAGGACTGGATTTACAGCTAGTTTGAGCAGCCATGTGGTGCTAGGCCTCAAACCGAGGCCTTCTGGGGAGAAACAGTGCTCTTAACTGCTGAACATCTCTCCAACCCCTGACTTTAGTTGTGTTCTTCCTTCCATAGCATTTACTGATGATTATGTACTGCACACCAGGCACAGCTCTGAAGACATGTGTGTGCTGATTAGACATGTGTGATGATTATATACTGCATACCAGGCACAGCTCTGAAGACATGTGTGCTGATTGCAGCTTTCTTGCTTCTTGCCTTAGTAAATATCTGTGATTTTAGTGTTGCTAACTTTTTATAGTTATATGTATTTTTTTATATTGATAAGGACTGCATCTTCTTTATCTCTGTATCTGGAACATTATTGTTAGAGAATAATAAATACATTTTTCTGGTGATATCAGAAAAAAATGTAATTTTCTTGTAACCTTAGTATCTCTATATATCTAGTATCTCTCAGAAATGGGCATTTCTTCATTTTTTTTCTTTTTCTCTCTTTTTTAAAAAAAGATTTACCTGTTATGTATACAGTGTTCTGCCTGCATATATCCCTGCAAGTCAGAAGAGGGTACCAGATCTCATTACAGATGGTTATGAGCCACCATGTATGTGGTCGCTGAAAATTGAACTCAGGACCTCCAGAAGAGCACACAGTGCTTTAACCTCTGAGCCTTCTCTTCAGCCCATCTCTTCATTTTTTCAATAATGACTTAGTCAGAAAATCTTTTGGGTCCATTGTCCTCTCAGAGTGACTGTGACATTCTTTCATTGGACCTCAGAAGGCCTGAACCAGCATGTTCTTAACGTGACTGCAGACCTTTGAATATACAACTTGTAACTTTGAAGCCTGTATGTCTTGTGTGATATTAGTTGATGATAAATGTTTAGAATAAGATCTGATTGTCAGGCTGGGGAGATAACTCAATGGTTAAGAGTATTTGCTGCCTTGGTAGAGGACCTGATTTTGGTACCCAGCACCTTCATCGTGGCTCACAAATATCTGAAAATCCAGTTGTAGGGAATCCAATACTATCTTTCTGACATCTGCAGGCACCACACATGTGATGCACGTACATCCGTGCTTACAAAACACTCTTACACATAAAATAAAAATCCTTTTATAAAGATTTAAGTGCAATAACTAATGTCTGTCCTGTGCTTGCTATGTGTCTATAGTTAGACTTATCTCCTCTCCGTCCCCCAACACACAGTTTCTCTGTGTAGCCTGGCTATCCTGGAACTTGCTCTGTAGACCAGGCTGTCCTTGAACCTCTGCCTCCCAAGTGCTGGAATTAAAGGCGAGTGCCACCACCGCCCAGCAGTTAGACTCATCTTGATTTGATAGCTAATTCAGTTTGTTCATCCATTGTTGGTTCATACAGTCCTTATGGCATATCTGAGCAAGTTACTGGTCTACATGAACTGAACTGATTTTAAAAAAAGTGTCTATAAAGAATTGAGGATGGGCCGGGCGATGGTGGCGCATGCCTTTAATCCCAGCACTTGGGAGGCAGAGGCAGGCGAATCCCTGTGAGTTCGAGGCCAGCCTGGTCTACAAGAGCTAGTTCCAGGTCAGGCACCAAAAACTACAGAGAAACCCTGTCTCGAAAAATCAAAAAAAAAAAAAAAAAAAGAATTGAGGATGGGCATTTACCTGGTATTTATGAGGCTCTTGTTTGTTGCTACCACTACAAATTTTTAAAAAAGCTCTTCATAGTCTCTTAATCCATAATCATACTGCATATCCATGATCACCAAGGAGATGATTATTTAAGGAGCCAAGTTCCAGGCATAGTTTTTATTAATGCGTTCTAAGGAGTTAAGAACATTGCATTTCTAAAATTAATTGTGTAATCTGTCTTTAATTAAAATTGGAACACAAAAAAATGATTACCAAAAGCATATTATATCCAGTTCAATATTTATGCCACTTTATGCTTGAGACATTGGGAAGGGTATAAAACAGAGCATAATATTTAAAAACCAGCATTGATCTAATAGTACTATATAAACAGTACTTAATAAGTGTTCTCTGATAATACAGTTCACTTAGGAATTTGTTTTCCCTAGATGTTCCCCCATACCCACAAAAAGATCTTTTGCTGGGGGTGGGGTGAGGGGTTGTTGCAAAGGGCTGGTCCCTGATTCTGACTGTTAAAAAGGATGGCTTGGAGGTTAAAGTACTGCCTGCTCATCCAGAGAACCCAGGTTGGAGCCATCTCTCCTGCCCTACAATTTGATCTTAATCTAAACATTTATAGCATACAGGTTTCAAAGTTACAAGTTGTATATCCAAAGACCCATATTTATTTTAAGTATATATATGACCCCATGGTGGCTCACAACCATCTGTTAATTCCAGTTCCAGGGCATCTGACCCTCTCTTGTGTGCCTCTGCTGGTACCAGGCATGCAAGTGGTACACAGGCATACATGCAGGCAAAATACATATAAAATATAAAGTGAATTACATTTATGTCAACAGTCAGCCTGTGAGAATCTGTTCTTTCCTTTCACCATATGAGTGAACTCCTAGTGTCAGAATTGACAGCCTGTACTTGCTGAGCCATTTCTTGGCAATCCTTTTTCCAAAAGTTTTTATTACTGATCTTAACACCTTATTTTTAAGTACTATTAGAATATTTAACTACATAGTAACATAGTTTTGTTGGCAGTTTTACATGAGTCACAGGAAATATGGACTAGGCTTTTGGGATTAAAAAATATATTATCCCTAGACTTTTGGAATTAAAGAATATATATTTCTCCAAGATAACTTGTATATGTGTTTTGTTTTTGTTGTTTGTTTTTTGAAGTTTTTTGAGGTAAGATTTCTCTGTAGCTTTGGTGCCTGTCCTAGAACTTGCTCTGTATCCAGGCTGGCCTCGAACTCACAGATCTGCCTGCTTCTGCTTCCTGAGTGCTGGAATTAAAGGCGTGTGCCACCACCATTCGGCATGTGTGTGTATTTTGTATGCACATGAATCTTGTTTAAACTTAAAGCATTTTTTTTTTCAAGCACAGCATCACTGTTTCATGGTGTTTGGAGATAATCTGGAAAGTTAAGGACGTTTCTAAGGAGAATTGCAGAGGATGCTCTAGGAAAAATCTGAACACTGAAGGAAGTGAGGATCATGGACCAGAACAACAGCCTTCCTCCTTATGCTCAGGGCTTGGCCTCCCCACAGGTAAAAGAGCAAGAAGCGGGGGCGAGGAGGGCTGACATAGTCCCATTAAGAGAAAGCAAAAGAAGGTATACTTTAGCCACCCAGATTTGAACATGGATTTGTATGTTTCTCAAGCTTGTTTTACTTTGTGGAAGTTTCTGCTTTGGGTAGGCATGATGCGTTTCTGCTTGGGGAGTTCATTTGGAACCTAATTTAGAAGACTTCCATCTGTGTGAGCTGTAGAGCTGTAGAACATTTATTTCATTTACTCAAGAAGATTCCTTCTTGACTCTGTTGCAGTCACCTCCCTAGCCCAAGATAACAACAAAATCTGCTTACAAAGTTAAACATTAATTTTTATATAAAATGTGTGTGGTTGCAATAGAATTAGACCGAGATTATTTGTTACTAATTCAGTATTAATTTTGCCATTTTTTTTCTTCCTACTTCCACATAAATAGCTACTAAATCTAGCAATGCTTGTAAGACAGAAGCATAGAAAAGGCAGTTAACAATATTTAACAGGCTTTGGTAGGTAATCCTCCTAGACTGGGTTGCACTTTACATAGGGATATGCCTTGTCCTTACGGTCTAGATATGCTTTGGTGGCTAAGCATCTGTCTTGTATATTATAAATAACAGACTCCATATGCTAAGTACTCATCTGCTATGTTTAGTACCACAGAAAAAAAGTGATGTATCTCAGGGTATCAAATTCTTTCCTAGTAATTCAAGACCTATTATATTCAGAAAGCACCAGGTTTTACACTTTACTCGGATTCCACTAGGAAAGAGCCTATACTACTAAACATTAATGTCTTAATCATTCTCTCTTTGTTTTCCACAGGGAGCCATGACTCCTGGAATTCCTATCTTTAGTCCAATGATGCCTTATGGCACAGGACTTACTCCACAGCCTATTCAGAACACCAATAGTCTTTCTATTTTGGAAGAGCAACAAAGACAGCAACAGCAGCAACAGCAGCAGCAGCAGCAGCAGCAGCAGCAGGCAGTAGCAACTGCAGCAGCCTCGGTTCAGCAATCCACATCTCAGCAGCCCACACAGGGTGCCTCAGGCCAGACTCCACAGATCTTCCATTCCCAGACTCTGACCACTGCACCCTTGCCAGGCACCACCCCCTTGTATCCTTCACCAATGACCCCTATGACCCCGATCACTCCTGCCACACCAGCCTCTGAGAGCTCTGGGATTGTACCACAGTTGCAGTGAGTACCTCGTAGCGTGTGTGTTCTCGCTTTTCCTCTTTCAATGTGTGTGCACACATGTGCACACATGTTTTTTTATGTTTCTGTTTCCTGTCTTCTGTCCCCTGCACCAGAGGAGGCTCTCAATGGTATTACACTATTTGCTTTCAGACAGTGGATTTACTTAAGGTAATTCTGTTATAGTGCAGCTTTATCTGCTCTTGGCAAGGAATTGAAGCTACAGAGTGAGTCAGTGTTCTCAGCAGAGCCTTTCCTTAGAAATGGAGTTGCTTGTGTTTATGTGTTGGGGCCACTGAAATGGAGTTTCATAGACACTGTGGACATTTCCCTGTGGCTAATTGTCTGAGTTACAGCCAGTTGTATCACAGGCTTGTCCAATCTTTGGAGATTTGTGAGGATGATAGTTCTTGTCTTGATAAATGTTTCTGCTTAAGTGAAATAGTTCCCACATGTTAAGGGGTAGGAGGCCCGGGCTTTTTTTATTTCTTCCTGAAACAACCCAAATCTAGATACTCCTCAGTAACAAGTATGTAGATTTTATTTAAGGAAGCTTGTAGCCTGACTAAAGGTTCTTTTCAGACAACACTGTTCAGTTTGTGTTTGCTGATCCTCCCTCCTACTTTGAGATCTGTTTCCTAGCTACACTCAATTTTCCTTTTACATGCATAATTGTCATTTGTATGCCATGCCAGATCATTTTTAAGCTACGTGGTATATAATCATGATTCTTGACTATTACACATTGCCTGTATACAATTTTAAGATAACTTTTGATTTTTATAATTTTAGAGAGATAAGCCCTGTTAGCTGTCCTTTAGACAAAGTCTAAAGTATAAACAAAGTCTGTACTGCTCCAAACTAATTTTTCATGCCTATTTGACTCCCACAGGCATTCTGCTTTGTATTCTGATTAAAATCATCTATTAGAACCAGCCTAGGACATACACTTATTTTCATAGCCACAGAGCATGTACTTGAGAGCCAGAGGCTGGAAGATCTCTGTGAGTTCAGAGCCAGCCTGGTTTACAGAGTGAGTTCCAGCACTGCCAGGGAACACAGAGAAACCCTGTTATTGCATAGAATGCTTCGAGACTGGGATACAATGGCATGAAACAGTCTTTTCGACCCAGGTGGGGAGTGATAAATTCTGTGCATGTGTGCATGCACTTCCCTATCTATGCTGGAGGAGAACCTCAAGAATCCTATCTCCACCCTGGTTTTTAAGATGGGATCTGTCAGTGCTGGTTGGGCTAAGCTGACTAGCCAGTGAGCCTCAGGAATCTGCCAGTCTCTGTCTCCTTGGCACTAGGATTGCAAGTACACGTTACCACTCTCACAGGTTCTGGGGATTGAACTCCACAGTCTCTTTACAAGTGGAGCTGTCTCCCTAGCCTGCTAATGGTGATTCCATTTAACATGACTTACAGTGGTAACTACAGAACAGAGTACAGATATTTTCTTCCCTTGCTAAAGACATTGAATTCCATTTTGGGAAGATTGAGAAAATCCATATCTTCCTGTTTTTACCATATTGACTTAATAGTGAGCTAATGTTGGTAGTATTTGAGAGCTCAGGAAGGCACGGCTCCTGAGACATGCAAGTTCTGGCTCCTCCACTTGGGAGTCATGTGCATCCCAAGCCAAACGCAGTACATTCCATGGAGGCTCAGTTGCTTTGTCTGATTATGGGAATAGCAGTTATCACTTCATAGTATGTTTTGGGTATTAAGTGGGAATATCTGGTATGCGGCACTTTTTAAGACATTTAGAGTCAGCAGCGTTTTTTGTTTGGTTTTGTTATTTTTATTATTATTATTACTAAAGCCTGGTGAAAAATAATGGATCATCAATCTAAATCATGTTTTCTTTCCAAATTTCTTCCAGAAATATTATATTCATAGCAAATCTTGGTTGTAAACTTTACCTAAAGACCATTCTCCTGTTTGTTTAAAAGTTAAATATTTTAAGTAATTATGTTTTTAAATTTCTTATAGAAATATTGTATCCACGGTGAATCTTGGATGTAAACTTGACCTAAAGACCATTGCACTTCGTGCCCGAAATGCTGAATATAATCCCAAGGTCAGACCCTTTTCATGTGTTTGAGATTATATAAGATAAACAGAAAATTCTTCCTAAATCTATAGGTGAGAAAGTTTGTATTGTGCTTGTTTCTTGATTCAGGCAAAATGAGTAGTGTTATGTTCATGATTAGTGTCTCAGAAAAGTTCATTCTGGGACTTTTTTCCTGTTTTTGCAGTATTGGGATTTTAACTAGGACCTCAGCCACACTAGGGCAGTGCTGCCTGCTGAGCTGCATTCTCAGTTCTATAACTTGTGTTTTATTGAATACCTACTATGTATATCCCCCTCCACATGTAGAAATCCATATATAACCTAAGTTTACATACACCTACATTGTGAAGGGTACCACAAGAAGTTGGAAAACAGAATATCCCATTTGTATCCTGAAGCATGTCTGATGACGTATCTGTGGTGCCCACTTCAGTGATCCTGTGGGAGAGCTGGGGATGGATTGTATGGGTGGAGAAAGATTGGTCAGTGATTAATAATTGTTGGCTGTAAGTACAAGTTTATTGCTCATTTTCCCACCTTTGCTGATAGACAAAATTACGTGTGGTGGTATGGACACAGATGGCTTTTCTGATAGAGAAATTACAGGAATTTAAGAGTCTGGCTTGGTGGTAGAACACTGGTCTGGGAAGGCCAAAGACTTTTGATTGTAATCAGGCTTTTTGTCCTTTTACAGTTTGATAAGTCATTGAGGAACACACAGTTCTAGTAAAGTCCCAGGAAGCCTTACAGTTTCCTAGACCTTCACCTGGCTGTTGGTTTCCGTACCCTATCTTTAGTTTTGTCCATTGTCTGCACCAGTGAGTCTCAGTTCTCCCTCTTTGTTGTATCCTGTAAGTTGAGGTTGGCCATAGAGTCTCTGACTTCTTCCTGTGAGAGTGTCTTATGCATCCTCCTGGGAGCTCCTCACACTCCTCCTGTCACCGCTCCTTAGGTGACCTTTTGTGAAGAGCCTCACACTTCTGATCCTGGTGGAATTCATTTATAGGCATTAGTACAGATCAGCCACATGAGTGTGAAAGGACTCGAGTCCCAGATTACCTTCTGGGGCACTATTTTATAGGGTCTTCTGAAGGAAAGGGAGTTGTTGTTAGGAGTGTGGTTTTCTATTTGATATGAGATTCAAGTTATGTAACTTACCTGTTGTCTCCTCCCGTGATACAACTGGTATTAATGACATGCATGCCCAGTTTTGCGTGGGCAGAAGGTGGCAGTAGGGGATTCCCCTTAAAAGGTTACTCAGAGGACACAGTTTGCCTTATTGCACCCAAAACATTTAGGCTGAATCAGTCAGCTCCACCCACCTCCCTGCCTTGTACTTGGACACAACTGGAGTATGATTGAGTAGACTGTGTTTGATGATCATCAAGGGAAGGAGAAACCTAGTCCACTGTTTGTGTGGTGTGTGTGTGTGTGTGTGTGTGTGTGTGTGTGTCTGCGTAGGTGGGAGTCGTTCTAGGTTTGGAGAGGACTGTATATGTATTTTTCATGCAGGTAGGGTCCTGGGCTGCCAGGTGCATAGCCCAAACCAAGAGAGGTCCCAGGTTTCAAAACTGTTCTCGATGCTTGCCTGCCTTGTGTTTCTATCTGTAATAGGGTTGCTGCTTTATACTATGATTTCATTTTTATGGCCTCAAACTCAGACCCTTTTGTCTCTACCTCCTGAATGCTGGAATTAAAAGTACCTTTTACTGTGCCCAGGTTTGTACTATGATTTCATCAGTTGTGTGTCAGCTTGAATGTGACAGCATCTAGATTGAGGAAAAGAACTGTCTTAAATGTAGGAAACATGTGGGCCCTACTTCATAGCCAGGTTTTTAGTTGAGTATAAGGCTAACCAGAAAATTAACTACAAAGACTCAGATTGGCCACTGTTCACTTTTAGCTAACCAAGTTTTTGTTATTTTTAGTATATACAACTCTTGAATCAGTCACCATACCAAGATGGTAGCCTCATCTCGTCTAATTTTGGCTTGAAGCCTACCTCTGTTTGTTTTCTGTTTCCATTTGCTTTATATATCATTTTCCTTGCTTTTACTTTCAGTTTACAAGTGTCCTTGCCATTGAGGTGTGTTTCTTGCAGTCAGCAAATGGTGGGATTAGAAAAACAACTAGTCTTTGTCTTTTAATTGGATAGGTAAGACCATTTACATTTAGAACTCTTACTAAAAAATACTATCTGATTTCTAGAATTTTGTTGATTGTTTTTCTTGGTTGGCTTTCTCAACTATCATCGCTAGGAGTTAGTTTACTGAATCTGCATGATTGATTCTTTCTTGGTTCTCATTTATTCATCTGTTCCTCATAAGAGTCTTATTCTTTCCTGAGCTCTCCGTCTGACTGTCTTTTACTTTGTGTGTAGCATTCCGTCAGTATTTTCTGCAGTGCTTTCTTTGGACAAACTTGGAAAATTCAAAAGAGCAGAAAGGAGAAAAGATTGGGAGATTTTTAAAAACTGCCCAATAAAGAAATACCCAAAAAACGTAGATAAGTATGAGGAAAGGAATAAGAAACAAAAACATTTTAAAAGATACTTTTGTTTTGTTTGGCAGGGTTTCTCTGTGTAGTCTTTGGAGCCTGTTCTGGAACTCACTTTATAGACCAGACTGATCCTGAACTCACAGAGATCCCACCTGCCTCTGCCTCCTGGGTGCTGGGATTAAAGGCGTGCGCAAAGATAACTTTTTAAATACATTGACAGGAATGTCTGGTGTAGCCAGGAGAGTTTCACCCAGGATATACAATACTTGAGCTTTCTTCACTCACAGAAACTAACCAGAAATAAAAGTGCAGCTTTAATGCTTCTTTCTGACCATTTTAGCGGTTTGCTGCTGTCATCATGAGAATACGAGAGCCACGAACAACTGCGCTGATTTTCAGCTCTGGAAAAATGGTGTGCACTGGAGCCAAGAGGTAGCCGTGAGGGTTTCTTTGTTTCTGGGGTTGCTTTTATCAGGCTAGCGCTTTTGTTTTGTTTGTTTCGAGACAGGGTTTCTCTGTGTGGTCCTGGCTACCCTGGAACTCGCTCTGTAGACCAGGCTGGCTTCGAACTCATAAAAATCTGCCTGCCTCTGCCTCCCGATTGCTGGAATTAAAGGCATACGCCACCACTGGCCAGCTGGACTGTCCTAATCACTTTGAATAGCATCTTCTTACTTTGTTACCCTGATACTTTGGTTGTAGCATTGTATTTGCATCCTGCTTTTCAGATGAGCGCTCTGTGAGCTGGAAAGTCACAGACTCCCCCAATGATGGCGTCCTAAGAACGGACAGAAATTTGATGTGAGGGAAGATAGAATTTGTATATTTGTCAGTAGTAAATTTTACTAGTATACTTTTTTTAAAAAATTTTTATTTTTGCTTTTGGTTTTTTGTTTTGCTTTGTTTTTTTGAGTCAGGGTTTCTCAGTGTAGCCCTGACTATCTTGGAACTCACTCTGTAAACCATGCTGACCCGAACTCAGAGATCCACCTGCCTCTGCCTCCCTAGTGCTGGGATTAAAGGTGTGAGCCACCACCATCCGACCTTAGTAATTTTTTTTTTATGAAAATGAAGTTTTCATCTCAGTAGAAATTTGTGGGTCAGAATGTGTTAACAGTGATCTTAACTGAATCATATGCTACATCACGTCCTTTAAATCTAGGACTTGTCAGTAATGTCGTAAGTTCATGGCTGATGTTTTGGTAGAATATGGTTTCTGTTAAAGACATAATGATAGTTTAATTCATTTTCTAATTTAGACTCTGTTTAAGTTATTCTTAATTATTCCATTAAGGGTTGTGCACATAACTCACTGTTTATCCTTCCTGCAGTGAAGAACAATCCAGATTAGCAGCGAGAAAATATGCTAGAGTTGTGCAGAAGTTGGGATTCCCAGCTAAGTTCTTGGACTTCAAGATCCAAAACATGGTGGGAAGCTGTGATGTGAAGTTCCCCATAAGGCTGGAAGGCCTTGTGTTGACCCACCAGCAGTTCAGTAGGTAGGTCTGAGAGGAGTCCATTGATAGTCTCCTCAGGCATCATAGAGGGTGAAGCACATTTAAGACATTCAGTTTCTAAGCCTATGATGTAGTTGCAAGTTGGATGTGGTACTAGTAAGCAGTTATACTGCACTTTCTGTTGTCCTTCACAGCTCCTGTTCCCCTAGTCACTTAGTGACACCCAGATGCCCCACTGCTGTATGCCTTATCATTTTGTTAGTCAGTAAAAACATTTAAACACATGAATTTGTAGTTTCTTCTACCACTTTTCTCCCAGTTTGACTCTTCTTTGTCAGCGTACTAGCAGAAGGTAAGATGGGCATGAGGGTTGAGCTGCCCGTTATGATTGCTTGTCGTTCTCTGGTGAACACTTCCTCAGCATCCCTGCTCACAGTATGTCTGTTATCTGGTTCCTGTTTGCAGCCGCACGAGCTCCCCACACTCACCATACTCCTCTTGCTTCAGGCCCTTTGCACAGGGCAGTTTTTTACCTGATCATTAGGTTCAATTTTCAACATAGAAACTCCTGTTTGAGTTTTAGATATCCATTCAATGTTGCTCTTCCTCATATAGGCCTGCCCTGCATTTATTTCCAGGTTACACATAAAACAGACAGGTCCTTTATCAGATTGAACTAATAAACCCAAAATGACTAGGTTAGAATTTCATAACTAATGTCAGTTCAGGGTGTAGGCTCATCTTCGAGCTCACATCTGGTTATCACTCTGGTTAAGTCACCCTGTTAGAAACACTGACAGGCTGACTGACTGACACTCTCAGCTCTTAAGAAGAGTGGTGAGATTTTTTTCATAAACTACTATCCCTAGACTTGCCCAGAGTGAATCTAATGAGGATCAGAGAACATGAGTGTACAACTCTTGTCTTTATCAGAAAAATGTGAATTCTGTGAAGACAGCATTACGTGATAGGAGAGCATGTAGTTGGTCGTCATGCCCATGACATGAGGCTCTTGCTTGGTGAAAGAGTTTTCATCTCGTGTGTCCTGTTTGTAGACATCTGGCTTGTTCACTCAGTATTTCCAGTACTTCACAAGGCCTCATTGAGTTTATACAAAAAACTGATGACTTCCCATTTCCTTTCTAGCTATGAGCCAGAATTATTTCCTGGATTAATCTATAGAATGATCAAACCAAGAATTGTTCTCCTTATTTTTGTTTCTGGAAAAGTTGTATTAACAGGTAAGTTAAAAGGAAAGTAGTGTACCAAAATTGCAGAGAATTTTGGGATAGCATTTCTGTGTTGGGACAGTTGTCTAGCCTCTTGTAAGGATGTTTTTGTTTACATTTTGCTTCCCATCCTGACCTCCATGAAAAGGGGAAGAGTGAGAACCGCAGAGTCCTGCTGCAGTTGTAGTCTTCAGCCTGAGTATGCATCATGGCAGCAGGCACAGAGGACACTAATAAGAGACTCGTTTCGGTGGCATTAGCCCCTGGAACTTGGGGTTACTAGGTGCCATTCTGAGGTAACAAGTCTGAGAGAGGAGTTCCACTGAACGCCACTGAACTCCAGCAGTTGGGAGAGTAAGGCTTCAGTCCTCAGTGCTTGCAGGTTACCATGCCACTCAGGACCAAGTGTGGGAAAGAACTGTGGACTAGGGGGTGGGTATTGCCTTGCTGACTTGTGGATCCTAGCCAGGACCAACTGTGGTGAGGAAATGGTGGTCTAGGGTGTTAAAAGTCACCAGGTCTATTTTTATTATATATATATTAGTGGTTTGTTAAGACAGGGTTTCTCTGTAGCTTTAGGGGCCTGTCCTGGAACTCTCTCTGTAGACTGGGCTAGCCTCAAACTCACAGAGATCCTCCTGCCTCTGCCTCCTGGGTTCTGGGATTAAAGGTGTGCACCACCATCTCTACTAATCTCATTTTTTAAAAAATACTGAAATAAATGAATGAATAAATAAATAAATAAATAAATAAGGTTTTATTAAGAACAAGTGCTGGAGAGCACAGCATGGCCAGTCTGGTCTACACAGCAGGTTTGTCTTAACTGGGTGTGGAGAGAACTGTACTTGTGACTTTATTTTAAGGCAGCGATGTTACTTTCTATTTTAAGAAATGTTACTTAACCATCTCATTTCTATTCCAATGTGTCTTTGTAGGTGCTAAAGTTAGAGCAGAAATTTATGAAGCATTTGAAAACATCTACCCCATCTTAAAGGGATTCAGGAAGACCACATAGTGGCTGCCATGCATTACTGCCCCCGTCAGTTCTGGTGCCGCTGATGGTACACTTGTGAGAAGGGCACTCACTTACAGGTGGCAGCATGAAGTAACACTGTGTCCTACTGAGGACACTGGAAAGGTTACCTCCTCTGCACTGAGATCGCCTGCAGCATCACTGTGAGTCGCTTGCTCTGTGCTGCTATTCGGGCAGCACTGCCCACTTATTTATATTTAGATTTTAAACACTGCTGTTGATGAATTTGCTGGTTTAAGGGACAGAACTTTTAAGTGTTCAAGCCACCTGTACAATTGAACTTTTTATTTTAACTTTTCCCACATAAGCCAGTTTTTATATTTCTACCAGAAAAGTAAAAAATCTTTTTTTAAAAGTGTTGTTTTTCTAGTTTGTAACTCTAAGGAGTTATTTTTGTGCCAGATACATTCCGCCTTCCCAGTATTGCAGAACTGAATAGTTGTATTAATCAAAATAAATGTACATATTTTCTTTCTCCAGAGTACTCTGCACAGAAACATGCAGCTTGTAAATTGTTAGATTTTTGTTATAAACGAAACCTTGTAAGAGTCATGTGATCATGTCAAGAGATTTATTTTAGATATAATGCCTGAGACCACTGTTTTGTTTGCTTGTCTTTGTTTGTTTTTGTCTGTTGCAGTGAAAATGGCCATGCCACTGATTTTATGATCCACACTGAACACCCTCTTATTCCTTAGATACTCTATAGTGTCTGGATCTTCACCAAACTAGTTATGTTCTGTTCATTTTTCAGCCTTTACCGGGGCCTCATAGCTGGTAAGGGACATCAGAGGGCTCTGAGTATTTCAGATGTGGAAGCTGGCGCCCTGTCTACAGATAGCTGACTTCTCTGATGTAGCATTTTTGTCATGGCTATTTTCTCTTGAATACAAGGTGGACACTTATGAAGCCTTGGGTTATTTGGGAGCATTTTATGTCCTGTTTTTTTAATTGTAAAAGTACATTGTGCACAGCTCAGAGTATGTGCAATCAGAAAGAAGTCTTTTTCTTTCCATCCTTAGCTGTTCTTTTCCCAGGTAACTTCCAGATTAGTGAGTGTCTTTTCACCCTCGCCTAGATGATGCCTGAGCTCTCCAGTATACCTGATGTGGCAGCAGGCAGAGGGGACACCAACGAGTGACTGTTTTCAGTGGCATTAGCCCCTGGTACTCCTGAGGTAACAAGGCTGAGAGGAGTTCCACTGAATGCCAACAGTTGGGAGAATAAGGCTTCAGTCCTCAGTGCTTGCAAGTTACCATGCCACTCAGGACCAAGTGTGGGAAAGAACTGTGGCCTAGGGTGTTAAGGTGTGTTGCTTTTTAAATTTTTAATCTGCAATTCTGTCCTTAGGAGCTACTTTTTATCTTGGTTTTGGAAAAATATTGAATACTTTGGTGACTTTTGTTTTTTTGTTTTTACAGTCAGTGTGACAGTTACACTTCCAAGAACAGCAATGGAATGTCTAATACCTTGATTTGAACCATTCCCTTAGTCACAGTCCTTGTCACCTCTAATGCACACTGTTATATGTGTATTTTGAATACATAAATTTCTATAGTATACTTTTACAAGGGGAATTGATATAAACCATTTATGTATTCCAAGTTTTGACAAATCAGTACTAGAGCCCAACCCCCCAAAAGTATACAAAGTACCCTTTCCTGCACTTACCAGGCGTTACTGATGTTTGAGAAGGATATCATTCTAGTACGTTTCTCCAAGATGGTTTTTTTTTAAGTTTTATAATTCTTTTTATATGGACCATTTTCATGTCATAAAAGTTAATTATTTCAACATGGTTTCTTATTTTTTCATAACACTTTAAGGAAAAATACTGATTTATATTTAACTTTTTCCAATCTATTTATTGAGCTCCTGTTACTGCTGTTAATAGTTGAACAGTTGGAACACTAAGTTCTAGGCATGTGGTAATTTTGAAAAGTAATAATCTTGTTTCTTCTTTCTGGTATTTATTTTTAATATTTCAGTGGCTGGGACTTTAAAGTGCCTTGCTTTCTTTCTTCTTTCCTGTTCTGTTTGGGACAGGGTGACACGGTTAGACTCCTACAGCCCAAGTGGCCATGAACTCAGTGATTCTGCCTTGCCCTCTCACGTAGCTGGGATGATAAGCCTCATGAGCCACTGTGTCTTGCCAAGGTTTTCATTTAACCATTTCTGTATTGTGCATATTTTTTATCCTTGTTATTTTTAACATTCTGGGGCTAGAACACAGGATTTGTGCCTGCAAAGAATGACCTCTGTGACTGACCTACCCCCAGAGTAGAACCCTTTAATTCTTTAGGCCATAAGGGGATTGCAAATTAGCATGCACTAAAGTGTACTGTACCTAGATTACACATGCAGCAGTCTTTCTGGGAAAGTGGCTGTCTTAGTTAGGTTTTCTGTTGCTGTGATAAAATACCATGACCAAAAGCAGCTTGGGGACAAAAGGGCTTATTTCAGCTTATAGTTGTATCCTTCATGAAGGGAAGACGGGGTAGAAAGAGCACTGCCCACTGACTCACTCAGCCTGCCCAGGGGTGGCACCACCCACACTGAGCTAGGCTCTCCCATATCAATCAAGAGTGTACCCCACAGACTGGCCTACAGGTCAATCTTATGGAACTATTTTCTCAAGATTCCTTCTTCCCAGTTATGTCTAGGTTTGTGTCAAACTGACAAAAACCAATCAAGATAGTGTAGTAGGAAGGGATCTTGCTATATCTAGCCCAGACTGATCAAGCACTCAGTTTGTGGCCTGAGGTGGCCTTGAATCCTTGGGCCTCCAAGGTCGTACTCCTGAGTGCACCTGGCTGGGTATATTATGTCCATACCATCTGGGGATGTTCCCAAATAATAGCCCTTGCTATTTATAAATACTTTAGTATATTGACTTTTAAAAGTCTCAGCATTCAGACCAGGATTACTGATAATTTGGGATGTGAAGTCAGACTTGGCATCTCTTGTCCTGGTCTTTTCCTGAGTAGGTGTGTTTCTACATGTTTGCCACAAGTTGATGCCAATGCCTTCCATGGCTGTGTGCTATAATACCAGTTCTATGTGGTTCTTTCTTAGTGCTTTAGTTACTTCAAGTAAAAATGAACAGCATCTTTCCTTAAAAGTAGCTTGATAAATGAGTAACAAATGACCCTTGTAGAAACCTCTAAATGATTGTATGTGTATTTTAATGTACACATACATACATGGTATGAACTCATAAGCCAGGACTTTGTGTAATATGCTTTGTATAATATGTCAATGGTAGTAGAATGTGATGTAACCTCCTAAAATTTAGAAGATTGCTAGATTAAGATTCAGGGTGACAGCACTCGGGAAGCAGAGGCAGGTGGATCTCTGTATTTCGAGGACAGCCAGAGATACACTGAGAAACCCTGTCTCGAAAACAAACCAGGATGAACAAGGATGCTAAAGTAACGACAACACAACAGCTTTGTCAGGTTTGTCTCGGTGTGGGAATTCACTTGTGAATGGATGAAGACTGGAAGCCCTCCTCACATCTTAAGATTCAGCCACGTGGCTTGACAGTGAACCATATGGAACATCCCATACCTGAAAGATGGCCCCAGGACCTCCCTTCAGTCAGTCAGGTTGTTGGACAGTTCCTTCTCTGTTCACCTTCCTCAGTCATTGTGAACACAGTCTGTGCAGAGTATTTGTAAAGGAAAGACAAAGCCCTTGTTTCTCAGTCTCTATCAGCAGGCCAGGTGAAGTTGGGCCTTCTTAAATCCAGGCTCCTACCAAGCCTGGTACCACGACTTCTTTACTGGCTCCTTCATCCTACTCAGACTAATAAAGTTCAGTTTTTCCTTGTTCTGAAACTAGATAGTACCGACTGCCCGTTTTCCCTCCCTCCCTCTCTAACCCACATGGAGGTGGGGAGTGCTGCCATGTGGCGGGTTACAGAAGGAAAACACAGGGCTCCTTCCCAGATACTCTTTGAGTTTTTAGTTTTTGCTTATTTGTACGTTTTATGCACCTGTATGAGCTATGCCGCGTGTATTGGGTGCCCACAGGGGCCAGAAAAGGTCATCAGATCCTCTGGAGCTGTGACACAGGCAGCTGTGAGCTTCCTGATTTGGGTGCTAGGAACTGAACTTGGCTCCTTTGGAAGAGTAGCAAGCCCTCTTAATAGCTGGAGAGCTAGCGCTGGCTGTTCTTACAGGGACCCAGGCTTGATTCCCAGCACCCCCATAGCATCTCCCAAGTGTCTAAGTCCAGTTCCAGGGGAACTCAGCATTGTCTTCTGGCCTCTGAAGGCACCAGGCATGTATGTGGTGCACATAACACACAGGCAAAAAAAATAACTAATAGTAATTACAATCAACTGAGCCATCTCTCCAGCATATTTCTATGCACACATATATGTATGTCTATTCCTACAAAACTAACATACCATGAACGTCAGTAATGACATCCTGGTATTTATACCCTATACCCCTATTGGCATCCATGTATGTTTGTAGCATTAACGGTATCACCCTTCATTATGGACATACAAAAAATGAAATTCCCATCATTGGACACTTGTTTTAGTAATACAGAGACATTGTAAATAGTGTATCAAGCAACATTTTTACACTTATATAAGTCTTTGGTAACTACTTTCTTAGGATAAAGTCCTAGAGATGGAATTGTGGGGTCCTGAGGCATAAGGAACATTTTTAAGAATTTAACCCTTGTTCAGGTGTCACATCCTGTTTCCACACAAACTCCTCTGTGTAGCCAATGCCCAGGTCACAGCTCTCAGCACAGGTGAAGACGGCAAGGATGCCCCAGTCCACACTTCTGCCCAGCCTGTCTGCCTTGAGGTAGTTCAGCAGCTGGGGCATGACCTGGGGAGAAGACAGAATAATATTTTAATACCTATATTTTGGTCCAGTTTTCTTAAAAGGTCATTATTTAAGGTCATACCTGGAATTCAAACATCCTCTTGGCACCACAGGGGCAATCTGGAATATCTTTTTCATGAGGGATATTTTCACCAGAAATCCAGATGGGTTTAATACCTCTTCCATACCTGAGAATCTAGAAGGTAACAAGGAGTACATCTCATCTAAGAATTCCCAATGGAAACATGGTATAAGGACCAGTTAGAGGAAATCCCCACGTGCTTCTGTACACTACCAACCCCTAAACCTCAAAGCCATTATTTTAGCTTATTTCTTCCCTAACATGTCAGGACCTTTTTAAACAATTAAAAATTGTGTGTACACATGGCAGCACTCGTGGAGGTCAGAGGATAACCTTTGAGAGCCAACTGCTTCTACTGCTTCTACTATGTGGGTCCCCAGGACCAGACTCAGTCATCTGGCTCAGCAGCAGGCACTGGCCCCACAGTGTTAGAATCTCAGTTCTATCACTGCGTTGTAAAGGAAGTTAAGAATAACTCGTTACCATACAACTGTGTGAGTCTGTGCAAAATGTGGCCATAGCAGTCAATACTTGGCTTCACGTATAGTCAAGATCCTTAAATACTTAAAAAGGGATGTACATAGTCAGACAGTGTTTGGTTAAATTGTTTAAAAAAGGGTAAATTCACTATAATCAGCTTCAGAGTGTTTTTCCTCTCTTTTGTTTAACTTGTATCACCATTGCTAAAAACCACCTAGTGTTACAGACAGACCAAAGCTTCCTGTTACCCTGGATGTTTACTTGTTCCAGTGTGTTTAGGAAGTTGCCTTTAGGGATTTTTGTTTATGCTTTTTTCTTTTTCTTTTTTTTTAGAATTCTGTACATATATAATGTGTACACAGTGTATGGGCACGTGAATCATACTGGTTTTATAAGCTGAAAGTAGGGGTTATAGTCATTTTGAGAACACAGTGAAGAGGTATAAATCCCATTTTACCTGTTCTGGTTCAAGGGCTATTTTGGATTTAAACTTTTGAAAAATGTGATCTTCCTTGGATTCATGCTTTGCCATGGAATCTAGTTCTTCCTCAGGTATTCTCCCTGGGGGGAAAAACCCAACACAATAATTATGAAATACTGGGATAATCCCCACAATTTAGCCAATCAAATGTATGGAGAACCTTGTTAACATAATTAGATCCTCTGTTCAAGTAATTTTAGTGACTATTTGTAGGTAACATGTACTCATTATAGATCTAGTCTTTAAGGCTTCAAATTATAATGTGAATGGTGGCTCAGAACTATAGCAGTGCATCTTGGGCTCCCTGCAATGGGGTCCTCATCACTGCTGTGCTCAAACCATCTGGATTCTTCCTTTAAGCCTCCTTCCATCTCACCCATCAGTGCCATTTCCTGTTCCACAGCCAGTTTTCCAGCAGACCAGTGGCTGCCAACACAAAGTGTGGTAATGTGTATCAAAATACGACCTTGATGTCCTGAGTCGGATAAGCTGAAATTCAATGTCACCATTTTGATAATTTGGGGGAGGCATTAGCCAGGATGCATGGAGAATGTACATTCCCTCACACTGGTGTTCTCTCAAAGGAAGAAGCAAAGCCTTGGGCTGGAGAGATGGCTCAGAGGTTAAGAGCACTGATTGCTCTTCCAGAGGTCCTGGGTTCAATTCCCAGCAACCACATGGTGGCTTGCAGCCATCTGTAATGAGATCTGGCGCCCTCTTCTGGCATGCAAGCATACATGGAAGGAATGTTGTATACATAATAAATAAATAAATTTTTTTAAAAAAGCAAAGCCTTAAGCTGCTCCACAGGTGTCCCTGTCCCTTCCTTCTCTTCCAATCTCTTTCTCCTTGCAGCCCAAACTAATTCTCAGCTAGGACAGTCACTTCAGGGAAGCATTCTGAAAACGTTTATCTTGTGAATGTTGAACATCCACAAAAGTAGAAGTGCTGTAGTTTTTAAGTATGAAGAACCAGCTTCAAATCAAATTTCAAGATTCCCCCATTGATGATTAATGAAGTTTCTGCTTTTCTGAATCAGGAATTGAATGTAGAGCCTGATACATGCTGGGCAAAATGTCCTGAGTTCCAAAGCCCATCCTGTTTTTATTCGTTTAAATATGGTCTCATGAATTTGTTCAGGCTTGCCTTGACCCCAGTTGGTAGACCTAGAAGCCCTGAGTAGCTGAGGTTGTAGGTCTGTACCACTAGGACCCACTGATAACTGAGGTGGGGGGGGAGACGGGGTTTCTCTGTACAGCAGCCTTTGCTGCTCTTGAACTCAGAGATCCACGTGCTTCTGCCTCCAAAGTACTGGGGTTAGAGCTGTGATAACTGAATTCTTAACTATTAACTTCTTCAATTTCTGATAACAACCACTTTCTTTCATTATTTATTTCCTCAGTAGTTCTGGAATCAGTTACCTCTCTAAATAGATCATTTTATAGATCTGGAGTACCAACTATAAAAGAGATGATCTAACAATTTCTAAAAATTTCACAATCTAACAATTTTTAAAAATCTAAAGATTTAAAAATCTTTGTTGTAGATAAAGTACTTATGAGTTGCTAGCATCTTCCAATAAAAATTCAGACTTACTTTCTGCAAATCTGTACTATTTTCTCAGACCCAATATATCAATTTACTTAAAATACCAGCAGTCAGATATAAAATGTATAACACCTGTACTATTTGCAATCAGGAGAAAGAGTTCAAGGCCAGCTTGGCCTACATGAGGACCTGCTTCCAAAGAAAAATATGCCCATCACTTTTTTCCCCACTCTTGAAATATATTTTACTAGATACACATCTGTCAAATCACTGGTGTGAAGTCATGTAGAATTATGTGGATATAAAATTCAACTCTTTTATGATTGCTTCTTATATAATGTTCACTCATAAATGATTGTCAGGTCCTACAGTCACAACTCCTGAGCACGCCATCCCTCCTGTTGACTTCCTTTATGAAGGAAAACATTTTCATTTTCATGACTTGCCACCTGTATAACGTGATCAACAGTATACACAAGTAGACACATTGAAATCCTACTGTCAGCAAGACCTAGAATCAAACTATAAAACTTAAGTTCTTTGCTCAAACACATGATACCCAGAACTTAGTGTCCACCCTGAAAGTGTTCCGTGAGCCCGCATGAGCAACCTTAGACAGAGTGTGAAAGCTGGACTCATGATCACACGTGTGTTGGTCACTACTTCAGCCACAACACAGCCCTAGGACATGAACTCTAGAGACAGTAAAGTATGGATCTAAAAGTAGAATTAAAAGACTGTTACAATGGCCCTGTCATATATTCTGCAGTTACTGTTTGCATCTGCAGTCTTCCACCACTGACACACTGATGGAGGCTCTCCTCTCTCAAGTGGTTTTCCTAAAGTGTATTTGGTCATAGTACTGTAAAATGTATATGCCATGTCCTTACCCATGCTTTCTGTGACGTCAGAATAATCTTCCATTTCTACAGCCTCGGGTATAATCTCATCTTCTGCTTCTGTTACAATTTCAAATTCTGGAAACAGGAAGTTGTGATCTGGAATTGTCTGGTTTAAAGGATCTACAAGAAAGTTATTAGCATCATTACTAAACATTTAGTTTTAAGATGATCTAAAATTTTCCCATTTCTAAAGCATTTCATCAGTCTGAACATCAGTCACTATGGCATAAGATAATCACTGTGTAGCCTGACACCAGGCATCTAGTGAAGTAATGGGCATTAAATGTGTAAAACTGCTGCCTGTATAACATAGCAAGCTTAGTTTTGAGTCAGGATCTCACTGTTTAGCCCAGATGGGCCTCAAACTCCTCCTGCATCTTGAGAGCTAGGATTACAGACAGGTGTCACCACCACTGGATCAATATTTTTAAAATACATGTTAGGCTAAAGATTAAATGGTACAATAAATATACCAACTGTTAATACACTTACTTGTTCTCAAAGTACTGGATATTATACACAACTTCTTGAGACTAGCCCCAAGCATGAACAGTGATGAGATCACAGTCTACCAAGTCACTAAAGAATTCATTAGATCAGGGGTGTATGTGCTATCGACCAAAAGACAGTGACACTATACATGACTGCTGTTAACTAGCTGTTTAGCTGGTTGTATTTTTGACTAGAGAGTCTAAAAGCCAATACAAGATGTCCATATGATTTCAACAACACTGATTTCATTATTAAAGTATTGATGTTACCAAATCTTAAAACTTTCTAAAGTATTTTGTTTTCTAATTTCAACTTTAATCAGAAACAAAAGTATCTGGGTTGGCTGAGGCACCGAAACTGCTGGAAACGGATGTCTTACCTGACTGTACACAAGCCTGTTTGTGTCCCAGCCGCCAGTCCAGTGTCTGATGCTCCTTACTGCAGTAATGTGCCTGCTTGCACCTAGAGCACGCTTTAGGGCCCAGGCAGCCACAAACCCTACAGAGATGGGCTCCTGTCTTAAGCTGGAGGCACGCACATTCTCCACTGTCTGAAGCTCCCGTCTCAGAAGGTGGCTCATATGAGTAAAACACATTTTTCCTCGGTAGCTGATTACGAAAAACTGAAACGAGGAGGTATGGAAAGTATAAAGGTTTTCAGTGAAACAAAATCCAAACATTTGAACCTTCTTCTTCACCTCCGCATAAAGAGGAAAAGTGGAGTCTTCTCTTTCAGGGAGGAGTTCTTACAGGAGAGGGGATAAAACCGGGAAGAGTTCGTGCCTAACAGTTAAGTTATGAAAATCTGTAGGTAAGGGCTCGTTTCTAAGAGACAGTTTGTATTACCCGACTCATCCCACTCCGAGGTTTGACCTCGGCCCTGCTCCCGGGCGTGCCGCTCACCTCGCAGGCCGGCACAGCACGGCGGCTCCCGACAGCAGAAGAGAAAGAGGCTGCGGTGGAAGGCGTCGTCCCGGCCGGGCAGCGGCGCGTACACCTGCAGC